TAGAATTTGTAGTATTTGCTTCTATCCCTTTATCCTGCGAACTCTTCTCTCAACTTCCTTGGGTAGTTGAAGTGAATTTCCTCCTAGTTATCCTTCAGCCATCGTAGGATGTCTATCCAACTCTCGGACAAGGGGCTGAAATTGATTTCTCTCCCTGTTAGGGCGTTAGTGAGCGAGTAAGGTGACCGTATGGAGAAGCTCGGTCGATACTCGTTGGGAGAAAATTCTCTACGTTTATTCGATCTTCTTTTGGATTCGTTGTCTTTGTTCTGTGCTTATTCGGCCTTCCAAGCTTCGTCTAGCCGAGCAAAGTTATTGGCTCGAGACATCAATTTTGCAAAAGAGTAAGGCCTATCAATGTTCAGCGAATTAAAGAGCTTGTTATATTTATAGTTTTTAGCCATTACAATGATGGCAACTTTAGTGTTAAGATCCTCTGTCTGCATGATGAGCTTTTAGAATTTTACGATGTAATCTCGAAGAGATTCATCGTCTGCCCTCTTTAAGTCTATAAAATCCGATAATATCTTCTTGCTTGGTATGCACGTCATGAACCGGGCCTAGAATGAGGGTGCTAGCTGAGCAAAACTGTCTATGGATATAGTCTTGAGCTCTATGGATATAGTCTTGAGCATTTGGAACCATTCTTGTATTGGTCACTTCAGTATGTTATGGGGAATACCTAGCGCAATTATGCGTCCACCGTCGTTTAGATGTGCATCACATTGCAAAAATTCAACAAATGACTTCGAGGGTCGGTAGTCCAGTCATATGTCTCAAAAGTAAACATCTTAAACTTATATGGGAAGTGTACTGACATGACTTATGGGGTTAATGGTGAATCATTCCTCAATCTGAAGTTAGTGTTATCTCTTGCCTCTCGGAAGTCTTTCAAGATTTGTAGAGTCTTCGCTTGGAATTCCTCCTCATCCTTATGGCATATATTCCTGAGCAAGGGAGTAGACTGAACGTGGGTTTGCGTTTTGTTCTGGGTGTTTGTGTGCCAGGATGAGTCTTCATCTCCTATCTCATCTCTTACAGTCTTATTTGCCTTATCACCATCATCTCCCATCTCATCTCCTACAGTCTTATTTCCATTGTTTCGTGGGCATGCTAGGATGCTAAAATAGGGTGAGAAAGGCGAATGAACATTCCAAAGATATTGTCATTTGGTTCGATCCACGTTTACTGCACCAATTTGATAGTCTCGAAAATATGATGACTTTAAAGAGTGATAATACCTTTGTTATATTCAATAATCTAAATTGCCATAAACCCTTTTTTTTAGGAGATGAGTTTATCCTTATATATTATATAAGTTTATCCTTATATATGAGTTATTGATGCTAGGTTGGTTATGTAAATGATGGGAGAGAGATATCAGGGCATTATCTCCTAATATCAAGCCCATATCTTCCTTCTATTATTTGAGTTGTTATATGACCCTTAGACCTCGCTAAGGTTGGTGTTTATCACTACCATGCAAAACTACCAAGTTATTTATAGTTAAAATTAAATTGAATTAATTTAGTTTGGTTTTAAATTTTAAATTTTGACTTATTTTTCAGATTAATCAATTTGGTTTTTAAGATTTTTAAAATATTGAATTCAAATGATTTTTTTCTCTTAAAAACCAAAACTAAACCCAATCTTTTTTAAGATTACATTAAATTGAATTAAACTAATTGGTACGACTAAATGTGGTCGATTTTACTGGTTAATGTCAATCCTAATATAGTGTGTCAAAATGGATTTAACATTTATTACTATGTTCTTTTCAATCCTAATATAATTGGAGGAGGTTATTGATTTTCCAGTTGCACTCCAGAATAACATTCAATACCAATGTTTTATTATTTATAACTATACTTCTTAATTTTTATAGTTAATAAAAAAGTATAAAATGCAAAAGATTTAGTTAATACCAATGTTTTATTATTTATAACTATACTTCTTAATTTTTATAGTTAATAAAAAAGTATAAAATGCAAAAGATTTAGTTAAATCAAACTGATCCGGTTCAATAAGGATCCAATCACAAAACTAATTTGATATCTAAGTCTAATTGTAAAAACATTCTTGAATACTTAATAGTTAAGTTGAATGTGTCTTTCCCAATTTATTCTGAAATAGTAAGGTGAAATATCTTAATGCATGAGCTTCGTTTAGTGGCCAGCAAAACTACGGATCGAGCCCAACTAAAAACTGAATTGATCTATTTCAATTCGGTTCGATAAGGTGTTCAAGAGATGTTCAATTAATTGATTTACTTCATTTAAATCAAATTTAATATTTAATTTGAATCGATTTGATAAAAATTCATCGATTCGATTTAAATGCTGATTTCGATTCCATTCGCTCTGTTTTAAAATATTCGGTTTATATTTTATGCCACCCAATCGACCGCTTGCTGACCCCACTTTCATATGCAGTTTAAAAAAACATACTGTCGGCTCGAGAAACAAAGCGGTTATGAAAAGAGAGGGAGAATTTGCACAAGGCAAGGTCTTTTTTTAAGAAGGCAGAGTCATATTTTAATTCCATTCTATGAACATAAAGTTGTTTTAAAATAAGATCATTTTATTAAAAAATAGGTGTGCACGCAACCATATTGCATTCCACCTCACAGATTGAAACCGTTTCATTTTAAAATAAGATCATTTTCTTCACTCCCAATAGTCAGTCACACCGTTCATTTGTTTTCTATCTAAGAGATTCCCAGTAGCTGTAATTTTTTCTCATTTTCTTGCGTTTCATTCATTTTGTTCAGATATGGCCGTAATCACTAGGGCGGCAGTAAGAGAGAAAGTGAAGCTGAAGCTCCAAGGTACACAATTTTTCCTTCTGTTTTTATGGCTTCTCGTTAACTAGTCATTCTCTGTTTGTTCTATAGATTCTATCTTTTCTAACAATATTCCTCAATCTATTCTCATCACATTTCTTTTGATTAAAATTCCATATATACACTATAGGAATTGGCAGCAAAAGTTATATAGCAAAAACTACATTTGCTCCTGAAAGCTCACATAATTAAGGCATCAAGAAGGAAATTTTCTGCTAATAGGAATGGGGATTCAATTGGTTCACTCAAATCGAACCAAATCAGTAAATCAAACTTTTATAGGAGGAAAACTGAATTAAACCAAAAACTGAATCATATCTCAAATCGAACCAAATCAGTAAATCAAACTTTTATAGGAGGAAAACTGAATTAAACCAAAAACTGAATCATATCAAGTTCAATTTGATTTTTTGGTTTTGACTTAATGTTTACGTTTTTTTAGGTATTTCAATATTATATATTGAACCGAACCCAAAAAATTTTCTGGTAAGCAAAATTCAGCCAAATAATTTTACGATCTAATCAAACTGAATCGGTCAATTAGCTTCAACTTTCAATTGATCCAAATTATATACAGTCCTATATTTGCTCATAGGCAAAGGTATAACAACAACTAGAGTTGCTGCCAAAAGGATAATATACAGCAGTAGGACTATTGGGTTATATTAGAACCCGATTTGTTCATATAACCCACTTTTAACAATTCCATATAGAAGCAACACTTCAAAGTTGTTGATTTTCCTAGCGCTAAGAATATGGTAACAACAAAAATTTTTAAAATTTTAGGAATCAATATTAATTTCTCTGCAAAATGAATCAAATTTTCTACTTGTTTGAATAATAAGATTTAATTTTAAAAACATTGGAAAACTAAGATTAATTCCTTCAAATTGTTCAAACTTTGTAAGTTCATATCTTAGTGGTAAATTCATCTTCTCATTGGGTAAATTCATCTTCTTCGATCTTGAGCACATAGTCTTCCTGTCTATATATATGTAGCAGACTTCTGGAGTAAAATCTGATTTTAGACCAATAGTTGGAATTTTTATAATTTTTTCCTTTTATGAAATTCTTCATCTTTTTAAATTTATAAAGTTCATGGTTAGCCTTAACTTGACCTATTTAAACAGATGAGACTTCACCTCACAAAATGCGCCAAAGAAATTAATAAACCTTCAACTGTACCTGAGGACTAAATTTATTGTACATTAAATGGTTTTACTTTGCCTAAGCTGCCACCTCCCGTAGCTATAATTGCATCCTCTTCTGAGTTCTGTCACTACTTTATCTTTTCTTCACCACCTCACTATCTTTTCTTCACCACCTCACTACATACCTATCAAACACCATCCTAAGTTCATATCTCTGATATTTTGCAGTTAATCAATAATAAGCAAATCAAGACTAGGCTGTCCTGTTCGCTACTTGGCTTTCCTCTGCTTACTCCTTTGGAGTACATCACCTGTTGTGGCTGGGCCTAGTAAGAGCAGCTAATTTTTTTGTTTATTTGTTCAATTCCGAGCTTTTGTTTTGCTTGTTTGATCTGTTTATTTATTACCTTGGTAGTCTTATGAGCTTTAGTATTTTTATTTTTTGCTTATAATTTTATATACATATTACTGGATTAATTGATTGTTTATCATATATAGCACTCTATAGGCTTATTAGTAATAGTATTTGGGGCAGTATGACATGCCTATATAAGTATAAATTAGTGCAAATCCCAGTACTGCATGAGGAGACATTGCTATATATAAGTATTTTTCCGGACTAAAATAATACCAAGTTCCGGACCGATGGTACTATTCACAGACCGGTAAATCACTATTACCGACACTAAAAAAAATCAGTCTGTTACAATTCAAATAGTATTATGAATAGTCTTATGATCTATTTTTACGGGATTAATTGATTGTTTATCATATATAGCACTCTATAGGCTTATTAGTAATAGTATTTGGGTCAGTATGACATGCCTATACAAGTATAAATTAGTGCAAATCCCAGTACTGCATGAGGAGACATTGCTATATACAAGTATAAAAAACAAAAATCATTTTTTTTTTTAATTTTGATTTTTTTGTTATATGAAAGCTGAAAAGGAAGGTAAGATTTATAGAGAAATTAGTCAAGAATAGTACAAGTCCCTTCAACCTATCAAACACCATCCTAAGTTCATATCTCTGATATTTTGCAGTTAATCAATAATAAGCAAATCAAGACTAGGCTGTCCTGTTCGCTACTTGGCTTTCCTCTGCTTACTCCTTTGGAGCTCATCCTTGTTGGAACCTGTTATGGCTATATAACTATATAAGTGCAGCTGCAGATTTATAGCTTTGTGGTAAATGCATCTCTCAAGTTGAGTATAGAGTCTCCTCATATGTTCATCTCGTATATGTGGATTAAACTTGATGAAGAAGGCTGTGATTGTTGGGCCATTCGGAGGTGAGTCTGAGAATTCATGGGACCATGGAGTCCACACCACTGTTAGACAAATGTTCTTACATTGTGGAATGGTTGTCGACTACATAGCAGTAGAGTATGATGAAAATGGAAGCTCCAAATGGTCTGATGGAAAAGTTTACATTGGTGGAAACCCTAATAAAGACTTTCAGGTTAGTTCATTTTTATTCAAGCCATGTTTTCATTTAATTGCATTTACCTTTAAATTCTTTTCATTTAATTGCATTTACCTTTAAATTCTTTTGTTTTGGATGAAAAAGAAAGGGCATGACTCTTAGCAAACAAGATAAACAAACTTTGGTATAAACCATTTTTTTAAAATTTAGAATCCATTTGATGTATGAATTTTTCATGTTTGTTGTAATGAATTTGAAATTTGAAATTTGAAATTTGAATCTAATTGAATTCCATGTCATTTATGTATGATATATATTTAAGATTAATTCTACATGTCAGAGCAAATTTTATTATTTGACAAAACTACCCACAAAATTTAAAAATTTAAAATTCAATCAAACTCCACAAAATTTTATAGAATTTATTTCTATTCCAATCCCAATATAAGATAAAATAATTCTAGATATAGATTTGCTCCCTTCTTACTATAAGCGTATAGAATTTATTTCTACACCAATCCCAATAGAAGATAAAATAATTCTAGATATAGATTTGCTCCCTTCTTACTATAAGCGTATTTTAAGGTTAATTTTTTTTGTTCCACTATAATTATTATTTTAGACTATCAAGGAAGTACTAATTAATTTGTTTTCAATTTTATACTTGTCCTTTTTGTTTCTCCACTATGTACGCATTAATTATTAAGAAATTGATAAAGGGTAATTTACTTATTTATAACTATTTTTTTGCTAAAATATTGATACTTTTCAATACTTTTTAATTGGTGCGCAAAAACCTCAAACGATACATGTAATGAAATGAAGATAGTAATTTTTTACCTTTTTTAGCATTACTCATTGGCATTCAAACCTAGATTTATTCTAAGGTTATATATGTGTTTATTATTACACTATATCTACATATGCTTTGACATCTCCATCAATCATAATTTAACATCAAAACAAAATTAAAATAAAGGACTATTGCTATATTATTCTTTCAAATATCAAAATTTTAAATTATCCCTTGAACTTGGAAGCTCAATTTTAGAAATAAAGTTTAGTGTAAGTAAAAAATTGGGCTTTTTGTTCTTTGTTGCAAGTTTAGGGGGTAAATTGTATACAAAGAGAAATTTTGGTCAAATTGAATATTGCTCCCAAGTTTGGGGGGTAAATTGTGTAAAAAATTGAATTTTGGTCAAAAATTGAATTTTGCTTCCAAGTTCAGGGAGGAAATTAAGTTTTATTTCTTAATTTTGTATCTTGGTTCAATCATGTCATCAATAATGGTTTATAATTTGACATGCTAAATGGTTCAATCATGTCATCAATAATGGTTTATAATTTGACATGCTAAATTATAAAATCAATGAATCAAATTTCACCTTTGCATATTCCAATTAATAATTAACAATAAGATCACAATTTTATTTATATTTTTGACATATGGTAAAACTAGGACTAAAATTGTAATAAAAACTAACAAAAATAACAACTTAAGGTGAATTGTTAGGGCAACAAAAATATCGAGGAAGAGACATTAAGAGTGAAAATACTGCAGAAATAATTAGAGACTTTATTTGCTGAAAATGGAAGCTTATTTTATTGAAGAGAAACTCACTAAAACTTACAATCTCTTTGGAGCTGCTGCTCTTTTTTATAATCTGAATTTTTGACTCTAATTGATTGATCAATCTCTAATCTTAGCTTCCTATTTATAGTGATCTTATGATGAATCTAGATAATGGCTTTTCAATTTACAAAGTCTGATGAATCTAGATAATGGCTTTTCAATTTACAAAGTCTAGAAAATGCAAAAAGACAGATAAATCTAGAAAATTCAAAGATACAATGAACATAATAATATTTTATCACTTTGAAAATTGCAAATTAATTCTTATCATCCCTTGTTAGTAATTTTCAATTGCTGGAGTTTCTCGAAAGACACTGCCTTTATAAGAACATCTACAGGTTGATCAGTAGTGTTGATGAATTCCAAGCAAAGCTCCTTCTTGTTAACCATCTCACAAATGAAATGATAGCGCAACTCAATGTGCTTTGATCTTGCATGAAAAACAGGGTTCTTAGTCATGGCAATTGCAGACCTATTATCACAGTAAATGGTAGTAGGACTTTTTATTATCACAGTAAATGGTAGTAGGACTTGAGTTCTTTTGCTGCAAGTCAAAAAGAATTCTTCTCAACCAGATTGCTTCACAAGCGGCTTCATTTACTGCAATGTATTCGGCTTCAGAAGATGACAAAGCAACTGAACTTTGTTTTTTAGAACTCCAAGAAATCGCATTTGAGCCTAAGCAAAAAATGTATCCGGATGTGCTTTTCCTGTCATCAAGATTTCTGGCCCAATCACTATCGGTAAAACTAACTAGCTTGCTCTCTTTATCCTTCACATACCCGATTCCAAAATTCTTGGTGCCTTGGAGATGGCATAAAATTCTCATTGCTGTTGCGAAATGAAGCTTGTTGGGTTCCGCATAGATCTGGAAATGATACTCACAGAGTTCACTATATCAGGTCTTGTATTTGTGAGATATATCAATGAGCCAACAAGACTTCGATAATACTTAGGATCAACTTTTTCTACTTCGTCATTTTGCTGTAATTTTTCATTAAGAGCTAAAGGAGTTGCTGCTGGTATGCAATTTTGTATTTGAAATTTTTTAAGCAAGTCTGTGACATATTTCTCCTGAGAAATAAAAATCTCTCTTTTGGATTGCTTCACCTACATTCTAAGGAATTATTTCATAAGCCCTAACTCTGTCATTTCATATTCATTCATCATTGCCTTCTTGAATTCTTCAACAATATTATCCCAACAAATATAAAATCATCAATGTAGAGGCAAACTATTAAAAAATCTGCTCCTTTCTTCTTCACATAAAGTGATGGTTTTGATTGACCTCTAATAAAGCCATTTTTGCAGAAATATGAATCAATCTTGTTATTTCAGGCCCTTGGTGCTTTTGCATGAAATAATGAATTCAATCTTGTTTATTCCCAATCTTGTTATTTCAGGCCCTTGGTGCTTACTTCAAGCCATAGAGAGCCTTGAGAAGTCGATAGCATTTCTCTTCTTTTCCCTTTATAGCATAGCCTTGAGGCTGCTCCACATATACTTTTTCTTCAAGTTCACCGTTAAGGAAGGCTGACTTGACATTAAGTTGAAAAACTTGTAATTCCAATTGAGCGGCTAATGTAAGAACAACCCGTATAGTCTCCATTTGAGCCAAAGGTGCAAATGTTTCTGTGAAATCTACCCTAGCCTGCTCTGAATACCCTTTGGGTACAAGTTGAGCCTTGTGTTTTTGTATGCTACCATCTTCATTATATTTGGTTGTATAGACCCATTTCAGTCCAATGGTATATTTTCCTTTTGGAAGATGCACCAATTCCCAAGTTTGGTTTTTTTTTAATGCTTGTTATTTCTTCATTCATGGTCCTTCTAATGCTTGTTATTTCTTCATTCATGGTCCTTCTCCATACTTCTTCTTTTGCAGCTTCTTCTTAACTTTGTGGTTCACTAGTCAAGAAAGCAACATAAGAAGAGTTACAGATATCAGTCAAAGATTGATAATTTCTTAGTGGAGTCCCAATCTCAGCTATCATCTTGGATATTTGCATTTGATGTGCCACCCTGAGAATCTCCATTTGCATTCCTAGCTTCTTGAACAACATTTTGCTGGCTTACGGTTGGTTCAATAAATTCAAGTGTTGCTGGAGTTTGACTTGCAACTTCTTCCCATTTTCATGCTGCCATTTCATAAAAAATAACATCTCTTGAGAGTATTAGCTGATTTCTTTAAGGATTGAAATGTCGATAGCCTTTAGATTCATCAATATAATCGACAAAAATACATTTTTTCCTTTTCCATCATACTTCTCTTTATTTTGAGAAGTATTAAGAGCATAAGCAATGCACCCAAAAACTTTCACAATGCTACCCAAAAACTTCAGCTGATTAACCACGGGTTTATCACCATGATAAGCTTTCAAATGGAGTTTTATTACGAATCGGCTTTGTTGGTAGCAGTTTAAATATAAATTGTTGTGTTCACAGCTTCAGCCCAGAATTCACCTTGGAAGGTCCTTCCTTTTCAATTATGCCCTCCGGTCCATTTCACAATAGCTGTGATTTTTCTGTTTCTGGCCACACTGTTTTGTTGAGGGTGGTGTCTTGCCCTTTGGAAATTGCTGTTTTCTTACAATAAATTAAGGAAAGACATAATCAGAAATTCCTCCTTTCACCGATCAAGATTTGAGATGTCTTCATTTTGATAACTGCTTGTTTTTCTACAAGAGGTAAATTCAAAAACATGGAGAAAGCATCTGATTTTTTATCTAGAAAATAAATCCAAATCATTCTTGTATAATCGTCAACAAATAAAAAGAAATATCTTTTATTGCTCAAGAATGGAGTTTGAGTAGGTCCACAAATATCTACATGAACCAGCTCTAGTGATGCACTTGCTCTCCAAGAAGTTTTCGGTAATGGCAGCCGGTGCATCTTTCCATACATCCATCCTTCACAAATTCCAGTCTTGCTTTGAATTGATGGAAGTCCAATCACCATATTCTTGCTTTTTAACAGCTGCAATCCGTTATAGTTCGAGTGGCCATATCTCAAATGCCACAATTGAGATTCATCAACATGCTCACTCTTCAATGCAACATTCAGTAGAGTTTGCATTCTCAAGGGAAAAATGTTATCAGGAGCCATTTTCACCACAGCCAGAGTTTGCATTCTCAAGGGAAAAATGTTATCAGGAGCCATTTTCACCACAGCCACCTTTTGATTAGCTTTTTTATCATAAATTTCACATCTATCAACATCAAAAATTAGTTCATATCCTCTCCTCAACATTTGTCCAACACTTAGAAGGTTTTGATTAATGCTAGGAGAGTAAAAAAAATCATGAATGTGTCTTTCATTACCTTCTTTGGTGTGGACTACAATGTCTCATCTTCCTTCAATCTTTACCATCTTGCTATCACCAATTTCCACTTCAGTTGAAAGTTTTTATCAAACTCCATAAATGATTCTTGATTGCCTATTATGTGATGACTGCAAGCACTATCTACATACCATACATCATTGTTTTTGTGCTAAGGTTTTATACAGGTATAGAACAACTGTTGATTGGCTTCCTTTAAAAAAGTTGCTGCTTGTTTGTCTCCACTGCCTTCTCCTTTATCATTGAAGCAACAATCCCTTTCGGAATGACTCTTGTAACACTTGAAGCAACAATCCCTTTCGGAAATGATTACACGCACAATTTTTACATTTTAGTGCACATATATCTTGCAATCTTTAGATTTATCGATTTGTCTTTTTGGCAAATGGTGCAAATAGGAGAATTATTTGTGTCTTTTGCTATTGAGAAATTGATTCTCGAGAGGAAGTCACATATGAGCCCTGTTTGCCTCTAGCGCTCGTATTTGAATTCAAACTCTCGTCACTCAAGCTATATGATTCTGCTTATTTGGCAAATGAGTTTCTTCGCTTTTGATCTTTTGCTGTTGTATATTGGATATCTTGTTGGACAGGTTTACTTTTTGCTTGAAAACTTTGTTTCCAACGGTTGTTTGTTGTAACTGCTCACTTCTCGCCTCTTTGGCCTCGTGCTGTCTAGAGAACCGCATCAACTCACTATATAGTGATGTCTTGATAGGTGTTTTGTTTCTTCAATAACAGCAACTATGTGCTCAGATTTCTCACTCGGTACATTCCTAGTATGTTCTCACAACCTTTCTTTTTAGGAAGCAACTCATCCAGACAACTCTTATTTGATTGATAATTTATTTGCTCTTGAAGAGAAATCTTTGAATAAGCTCAATTTCCTTCATACATCAATTTGTCCAAAATCTCTCCATAAATTTTTTGCCACTTTATGGGATGGCTTTTTCCAGATTGTCAAAATCTCTCCATAAATTTTGCAACTTTATGGGGATGGCTTTTTCTAAGCCTTGAAATTCTTTGCTCAAAATTTCCCGAGCATCTTTGGTTTTTTCAATTCCAAAGATTCTAGGATATATAGCCTTGCTTACTCCTTGCTAGATAATTCTTAAAGCCATAGCATTTTGCTTCAAGTTCTCCCTGTAATTTTTCTCCTATGCTTCTGTCCATTTTGTTGCTGGTATTTGTCTTTCCAGATATCCTTCTTCTATTATACTCCATAAATCATGTGAGATAAAAAATGGTCTCCATTTGAGACTCCAATATTCATAGTGTTCTCCATTGAAAATGAGAATTTGGGTTAATGATTGTGAAGAGAAAATGTTGCTTGGTAAACCCATTTTATCTAGCAAGCTTTGATACCAAATTTGTTGGAAATAGAGGAAGCAAAATGAACCCCAAAGGATCTTTGAGAGCAAAAATTCTGTAGAAATAATTAGAGATTTTGTTTGCTGAAAATGGAAGCTTATTTTATTGAAGAGAAACTCACTAAAACTTACAATATCTTTAGAGTTGCTGCTCTTTTTTATAATTTGAATTTTTGACATCTAATTGATTGAGCAATCTCTAATCCTAGTTTCCCATTTATAGTGGTCTTGTGATGAATCTAGATAATGGCTTTTCAATTTACAAAGTCTAGAAAATGCAAAGAGACATGGATAAATCTAGAAAATTCAAAGATACAATGAACATAATAATATCTTATCACTTTGAAAATTGCAAATTAATTCTTATCAAATCTTTATCTAAACTAGTTCTTTTACCATCAAACTAATCTTAAAAGTGCCTTTTTAATATTGGAATAAAGGTAAACTTGGTCCTTGAACTTGTTCAGAGGGACTAAAAAGGGTAGATTTTACATTTTTATCGAATTTTACGCTTGAACTTATTTAGAGGGATTAAAAATGTCATATTTAACCTTTTCGGCCAATATAACCCCATGAACTTATTTTGACAAATCAATCAATTGATTTAAATTCAACAAAATCGCTCCGTTCAAGATGCTTTTCTTCTGTTACCAAAATCAAACTGAACTTATTATTATGGAAGGGATGGAGTATCATGTTTATATTAGAAAAAAGAAAAAGAAAAAGAAATACACTAGCCTTTACTTTTTAAGTAAATTTTTAGATGTCTTGTACTATTTGTGCATCAAGAAATTAACCTTTTTCTTTGAACTCATTTAATATTTTATTCCTAACCGGACTCAATACTCAATTTCTAGTCTTCAAGCTTCATTGAAAGCTTGGAATGAAAATCTTTTTCTCATTCTTTTTTAATTCAATTTTGTGCATTAATTATTAAAATAATCCGAGTTAGTTAATTTGTGATGCAAAAAATTGCAGATCAAACTGGACTATCCGAATGAGTGTTTGACATCAATCTCAGGTTACTACAATGTCTTTATGGGTCGTATTTATATCTGTTCAATGTCTGCAAGAACTCGGATGCAACACCACTGTGTGACGCTAGACGAAGGTGGGACGAGTAGTATATGAACATCATCATCAGGTGTAGGAGGATCCTGCGCGATGCATCAGTCCGACATCACACATGTCTTTTATGAGGTCGTGATTAAATATCTGTTTCAATGTGTTGTAAAAAGCACATTAGATAAGAAGATGGTTGGTCTCATTTGGTACTAACAGTAGCACAAGGAATATGACGTGCAAACTAGTTATTTTTGGTTCCATCTAATATAGGCAAAATTGTTGTCGGGTTCTTTTGGGAGTTCAATGTATCCTTAGTCATCTACTATCCTTATTGGAAGCGTGGAGTCATGTGGAACCGGAATCACGCACACCATTATTATAACCTATTTTTCGAGTGCTCATTGTGGCCAGGCAGGTTGAGTGGGCTGCGTCATTCCAGGGATAATGAACTGGACCGGACACTTAAGTCGTCGAACTACTAACACCTATATATGAGGTAACGAGAATCAACACTCGAGTGATCTTGTCTGATTCCGAGTAAGGCAAGCACCCGAATTAATATAGAAAGTACCGACAACAATGGGACACCGCCTTGGGTATTCATCTAAAAGCATGGGCGAGGAAGTGGAGACAAGCCACCAATGTGGGTTAGATCTGTCTTAGTCTTTGATGCATCCTAGCCATACGATTGGCATCAGTGTTTGTGTTAAAGGTATGATAATCAAATCTGGCTTTTATTGGCTGCCCTTCGTTCACGCCATATCTGGTTATTCGAGAATTCAAGTATTTAAAGATCAGTTCTGTAGTCAGAAGCGCGTCATGTCTAACTACATGTAGTTTTAGGCGTTTGTAGATTACCATGGCCAAGTACACTCTGATTGAGCTTAGCACGCTTGATTTTGCGAGTTTGAAAAAAACTCGCAGATACTCAGCTCACTCCTTTTACAGAATTTATGAGAGTTTTTATTTAAAAATGCGAACTTCTTAGGATGTGTTATAATATGTAGTTCAAACTTGGAAAAGCTCAAGCTCGACTTAATTTAGTTTTACAAGTTGATAAAAGTAGACTCGAGCTCAATTAGGAGTTAGAGTATCAAAAGACTTCTTTTTCAAAGCTGAGCACTCGAGTAGCTACCGGTCTGGCTTCAGTTCTATTTGACAGCCCAAGACATGTTAGGAGTATATTGCTGCCTCCTTTTCATGTAAGGACTGAAACAACGATTTTCGTTGTGTTTTCATAGAGATTATTTTCCTAGCTTGCAAAATGCCGATTATCTCTAACAGGGCAAGATATTGTGTGAGTATTTCTTAAATAAATGATCTCATTTTGTAGAGGTTGTCTAGAGATTATGCGGCCACAGATGATATTGTCGTGAACTTCATTTCCAAGATGGATGATCCATTGGTAGAAACGAGTATACTTATTCTTCCGCTGTGGTTCATAATATTCGCAGCATTGCTAACAATTAAAAGCTAATCAGACGACAGTGAGTTTAGACGTAGACCTGTTGAGGTGATACGCAAAGAAGTAGAATTTTTTACTATATTCCCACAAACTGAGGGTAAGATCATGGGTTTCATGGGAGGTGTGGTGATGCTCATGCTTAAATTCAATTGGTGGAAGCATTTTGGAGCCTACGCGTCAGGTCTAATATGCCTGTAAAAACTATTGGTCCATCTGGTGAAGGGAAAGAGTATTTATGGGATTTATGGAGGGTTCATCGGCGAATATAAAGCAAAATAAGAATTACACATGAGGAGCGCTTTGTGAGTTTGTCCATTTGAGGTTGACTAGAAGTATTGAATAACAAGATGATGGTTTATCAGAGGGTCTAAGAGCATGGGTCAAGCCTTGAACGCCCAAATAAATGCCCAACGGGTTAGTATCTAAAATATTTATATTAGTTTAATTCAATGTCCTTATGGCGCAACATATGAAATATCAGTGAAAAGAAATTTATATTAGTTTAATTCAATTCCTATGCAACATGAAATATCAAGTGAAAAGAACAATTATTTCTTGTTGGATAGCTATTTTTGAATTTAATTTAAATTTTAAGTAATAATTTTGCAAACTATGCATTTAGGTAAAATTTTAAAGGGAAAGTATAGAACAATATGACGTTGTGTGATTCTTTTGTGTTTAAAGGGTTGTGATTTAAGTCATTCATATTTTGGGTAGCAAAATTCTTGCTAAATTTGCATTTATAATTCTTTTGTTGTAGATTAAGCTTGATTATCCAGATGAGTTTCTAACTTCAGTTACGGGTTACTATGACTCTATCAATGAAATGAATGACTACAGTTTCACATCACTCACATTCCAGAGCAATAGTAGAGCAAGCAGAAGACCTTTATTGGTCCGATCCTATGTAGGTATCGATGAAAGTTGGTAGAAGCCAGTTTTTCTTTTATCGCATCATAGATTGAGTTGGAAAGATTTTAAGGTTCCATGGAAGAAGCAGCGGCTATACTCTATGCACTTGGGCACCATGTCCAGCCCTATCTCTGCGCCCACCAACAATCATCTAAATCAATTTGTGGGCCATTTGTGGGAGTAGAGATGTGGGTGATCGAATCGGGATGAAGATCAATGGGATGATGGATTTTATACTACAATCAGGCAATTGGTAATTTCTAGTGGATCCATTGTCAACTCTATTTGCATTGAGTATGATGAGAATGGTCAATCTATATGGTCATCAAAGCATGGACGAAGTGTTGGAGACAAGACATACACGGTTAGTTTTATTTTCTAATTCATTGGATTAATTAAAATATTACATAATGCATTCCAAATTGGTTTGAGTTAATTAAGCAAATCATTTAGGTCAAAACTTGCACCCTCAAATTTTATTAACTAACATCCATGGATTGCATGAATGAATAGGGGTGAAGCATCTTATACCAATGGAAAAATGGTTAAGGCTCTATTTGACAATAGCTTTTAAGGGAGCTTTTAGTGTTTCTATTTGACAATAGCTTTTAAGGGAGCTTTTAGTGTTTTGAATAGGGTCAAAACACTATTTTTGTTATTTATGTTGTTTGGTACTATAATGTTGATATTAGTGTTTAGAGGTTGAGTGAGTGGATTATGAAACATTACTTCCTTTAATATTTGATGAAATGCTTTGATAAATTGCTAGTAAAACAACTTAAAGCTACTAAAACAACTGACAGCTACTAAATCAAATAATTTTGACGAACAGAGCTTAAGTCTTGTTCATTTTGGGTTCAAAAAGATTAACAATCCTAGTTTGATAGGAGAATATATATAGCTATTTTAATTGAGGGTGTTACACTTAAACGCATGCCAAGGATTTTGATATATTTATGGTAGATTGGAATATATTTGATAAGCATTACTTAGAAGTAAATTTGATAGTGTTAATTGATTTTTTTCAGTATGATGGGTAAATTATATCAGTAGTCAGTAAATTATATCAGTAGTCATTTAATTTTGTGTTTAGTTTCATTAAGGTCACATAATTTCAATGTCATTTTTTTAGTCACTCAACGTTAATTTTTGTTTCAACGAGAGGTCACCTACTGAAAACTAATAATTGGAATAATAATATGACACTAAAATTACATATTTCACAGAAGAAAGTTCATGATTAAGAAATATAAAAAAGAGAAGAAAACAAAATGTTGCAAATACACCATTTTTTCAGAAGAATTCGCCATGATATATCTGATCCGTGCATAATATCATGAAAAGTGGATACAAATTTTTGACTGCTACTTAGTATCGGTAATAAGTCCAGGGTATCTTAAAGATATCGAAAAGGTATCTAAAGATATCAAATTTAGGTATTTGTTGAAATTTTTTTAAAATTGTTTCATGAAGATGGCATTATTTGTTAAATAAGTTAATAAATAAATTTTAAATTAAGGTATTAGAGAAAATATGATTTTTTTTTTAAAATGAAATATTTTATTTTTAGTGCCATGTTAGTATTTTTTTATGATCGGATTCGGGTGAGTCGCCTCCCGTTGAAATAGAAATCAAGTTTTAGTAACTAAAAAATGACATTAATATTACGTGACGTTATAAAATTAAGTGCAAAGTTAGATGACCATTAGTATAATTTACTCGGAGTATGACACAAGTTTAAATTTTGGAAAATAACAAATTAGTCATTGAGTTATAGTCAAATTAACACATGAGATCTCTATTTTCAAAAATTAACTTTGAAATCCCTAACTTATGGTTTCATTAACATGTTGGTCCTTCCGTCCAAAATAACCTCTTTTAATTGGCAATTGACAAAGAAATTGGTCTCTAAATTATAGTCCAACTAAAAATCAGGTCCTTAGTTGAGTTGAAGAACAGATTTGGGAAAATATTGTTTCTATATTTCTTGTGTTTTCAATGTGATTTATAAATCCTATTTATACACAATTATCAAACTCTAAATAGGAAAAACTAATCTAATTCTAAATAGGAAAAAACAAATAAGGCAAGAATGATTTTCTCCTTAATAGTCTATATACAAGTCAACACTCCCCCTCAAGTTGGTGCATGGATATTGCACATGCAACTTGCAAACCATTTTATGGAATTATTTGCTATTAAGCTCTTTAGTAAGAGCATCTGGAATTTGATTATCCGAAGTCACATGGATAAGCTTCAAAACACCTCGATGACTTCTTCTTTTATGAAATGTCTTTCAATCTCTATGTGCTTTGTCTGGTCATGTTGAACTGGATTTTGAGAAATACTAATTGCGGCCTTGTTATCACAAAACAAAGTTGAATCTTCTCCTTCCAACATTCACAATTCTTCCATTATCTTCCTTAGCCATAACAATTTGCAAACTCCTTATGGCTCTATATTCTGCGTCTGCACTTGAACGTGTCTTCCTTAGCCATAACAATTTGCAAACTCCTTATGGCTCTATATTCTGCGTCTGCACTTGAACGTGCTACCACAATGTGCTTTTTACTTCTCCAAGTAACTAGGTTCCCTCCAACAAAGGTACAATATCCAGAAGTTGATCTCCTATCATCTGGAGATCTAGCCAATTAACGTCAGTAAAGGCTTCAGTTTTTAGGTGACCATGCTTAAAGAAGACCTATTCCAGGTGCAGATTTTAGATATCTCATAATGCAAAAGACAACTTCAAGATGAGAACTACGAGGATCATGCATATATTGACTAACTAGACTTACAACCTATGCTATATTAAGTCTAGTATGTGAGAGATAAATCAATCTGCCAACCAATCTCTGATGTTGACCCAAGTCAACCGGTTCTCCCATTCTTGCTTACAATTTGTAATTAACTTCAATGCGAGAATCAACTGTTTTACAACCCAACATGCCATTTTCTTTTAAGAGATCCAAGATATATTTCCTTTGTGAGAGAAAGACACTTTATCCAATCTAGTAACTTCCATACCCAGAAAGTATTTCAAACTCCTAAGTCCTTAATGTCAAACTCCTGAGCCAACAACTGTGGGTCCCGTATATGTATGGCACAACCCAAGAGGGGGGGGGTGAATTGGGTTTTCTAAACTCAGATACAAATTTTAGAAATTCTAAACTAAACTTTCAGATACAAATTTTTAGAAATTCTAGAACAAAATACTAGAATTTCTAAGTGCAGCGGAAAACAAAAAACTTTTGTGAGAATTAGAACTATGGATCTAGAATCACCTCACAATGTTCTAATTATAAAGCGATAGAAAGTCTGTGCAAAGTGCAGCTACTTGATTAGAACAGCTTCACACTAGACTTATTCAATATCATAGCTTCTTTGATGAACGGCGAAAGTTATTGAAATTAGAACTTCCTCATAAAGTTTTGAAAAAATCATTATAAAAGCTATGTGAAAGACAGCTTATTAAATTCAGAACTTCTTCACAGGAGCCCTTAATCAAATATTCAGAACGACTTTATGATCGGAAAGCTATCAAGATTTAGAACTTCCTCATAAAGTTTAGAAAATTAATTAGAAACCCAATCAGTGAAATATACTGCAGAATTAGAACAACAGTTAGTGATAAGTGTTAATTTTTATTAGTGTTTTTAATATAGTTTTTATTAGATTTTGGAGTAAGTTTTTATTACTTTAAAATCACTTTTAGTATAATTATGCTTCAAAAGTTTCCTCTTTGATCTTTAATCCGCTTTGATCTAATAAGAGAAAATTTCAGGAATTTGGCACAGAAAAGAACCTTATAACACAAGGCACTTAACTGGTAACACGCCCAGCCCGTGCTAAAAGGCACGGCCGTACTACAAGGGTCCCAAGGCGTGTCAAGCATAACACGCCCAAGGCAACTTTAGGCAGACTTCCAGAGAAAAGCATGCCAAGCCCGTGCTACCTGGCACGCCCGTGCCTCAATGCTTCACCAGCCCGTGCTACCTAGCACGCCCCGTGTTTCATTGGCCAGACTTCCAGAGAAAAGCACGCCCAGCCCGTGCTACCTGGCACGCCCGTGCCTCAAAGCACATCCAGCCCGTGCTAGGAAGCACGCCCGTGCTGCGCAGGCGGAACTAGCGAGAATTTAATGCGCAAATCAAGCTTTTTCTCACATGGGCCAACCTCGGAGAGTTTCCTAAACACACTAAACAAGACCTGGACCTATTCTTGGGGAAAAAGGAGTCCTAATCAAGAAAAAATCAAGAACCTAAACAGTTATGATCTCCTATAAAGGATTTTGCACTAAATAAGGATTCTATTTCCTAAAAGGAGTCAAACTTGCCTTCAAGAACTCTATATATTGCCTTCAAGAACTCTATTATAAGAGGGAGGGAAATTCTCCTTAACAAGATATCTTCTCGTTTTTTAGGCAATTTCTTTAAAACATAATTCGTTCTCTCTCTCAAGGATTTCAAGCATCAAACAATTGACTGCCAAGATTCAAGGAAGCCATCAACATTAGTTGTGATACCAGTTTTTATTCTAAAACTCTTCATTCTTTGTTTCTTCTTTTATTATTGTCTTTAAATATGGATGAATGTGCCAAGCATGATTGAGTTAATTTAATTACCTATGTCCAGCTAAACTCTTATACTTAGGCGGATTTTGATGTAGCTTTAATTCGATTACCAGTTATGATTATGTAATTTCGTTTTTCTTTGTTTTTCTTTGTTCTCGTTATAAATTATTATTGTGCTTAATGCTTCCAGGCAGAAAATTTCCCCTGGATTGAGTTATTTCAATAACTACATTTGGGAGAAGGGTTATTGATATGAAAAAGATAATAATTTACTTGAGAATAATAACTTGATGCGGGCTATATGGTTTGACTCAAGGGGGGTTTTCATAAGTTAATAAAGTATTAAGTTGTGAACTCACAAAACAACCACAAAACCTAATAATCTGATTTACGTTTAATTTCACTATTAAAGATAGGTAATTAAACTGGATTAGAATAGCTAACAATAAATCGGGAGAGCTTGTTAGTAACTTTAAGGTTGTTTCTCCTACTTGAACAATTATAGTTGATTAATAAACTAATAGAATAAGCTGGATAGAATTAAGTGAAATCAAATTCCCTAGTAGCTTAATCCTCTGATTTCTTTTCACCTAAATTTTGTGTTTTTGTGTTTGATCTCTTCTAATTTTTTTTACTTTTAAATTTTATTTACCTTTACAGAACGAATTCTCCTTTATCGTCGTCTAATTTAATAATAGCATTAACATTAATTTCGGAATTGATAAACAATCCCTGTGGACTACGATACTTTCTTACTCTTATACTACATTTGTTGCATTTCCGTTTACACT